AGGGCAGAAAATATTCTCTTTTTTTTAAAACACTTCTGGTGAAGTCCCAGTGCTTTAGAAAGAGCATAGCTCATGACTGAAGACCAAATTAATAAATGTGTTTATAGTTCAAGACAGTATGTACTGGTATGTGCAGTGTGTGTGTTGTGTGTGTGTGTGTATGTGTGTTTGAGTATGTGTCTTCTTCATAAATTCAGAATTACAAGCATGCAGATAGTGTCCAGTCGGACCATGTGTGTGTGAGAAGGTGTGCATACCTCTCTCTTTGATAAGTGAGAAAGAGAGAGAGAGAGAGAGAGAGAGAGAGAGAGAGAGAGAGAGAGTGCTGTCATCTGTTCTCTCCAGCAGTGGACTGGTTGCTGTCCATGTGAGCTGCAGTATGAGGGTGCATATCGCTTTAAAACAACTGCCGGGGAGACTTAAGAGATCGTCTGCATTTCCTTAGTGGGAATGTTTGTGTTTGTGACGCTCAGACCAACAGAAAGAGGGTGCTTTGCTTAAGTGAGAAGAAACGAGAGGGGAAGGGAGGAGGAAGAAGAGAGACACAGTCAGCAGGCACCACCGGCTGTATGGGACTTGGACAGAAGGACTAGCAGAATTTGTCCTTGACGAAGCGTCACACTGCTGAATCCCAGAGAGACTGAGAGGACAGAAAGGGACAGAGGCAGGAGATGAGACAGCCAAGGGGGTTATCCCTCTCTCTGTGGCTTACCTCTAGAGATGACCCAATTATTATCTACTGGAGCTAAGTGGTATCAAGAGGACAATAAAGACTAATTCCTCCTCATTAACTGGGCCTCTATGGATTTTACCTGTGATGGCTCACCTGAGCAGATGAAGATTTGTTAATGTGAAACTTGTTGATATCCCACCGATATCAACTCATACTGCTGTATTGTATATACGTACGTCTAGAGGTGTGTCTCATCACAGAGAGCTTGTAGTCGTTGAAGTAATGGAGGCAGTCTTGTTGGGTCTAGACGAAGCGGTCTGTACTCAGCAGGGTCTGCTGTGGACTCTCACCTCAACTGCCCTCAGACGCCTTCGTGTGCATGCAAGGAACCTTCCTGCACCCCTGCATCTATTGCACATACACAGGTGTGTTTCTAGGCCACTCTATCAGGTAGGCTGCACCTCACATACACACGAAACAAACATAAACTAGATATTCAGGTGCATATCTGCATTCAAACTGGCACCCTTGCACGAGGCCTGTATTGCTAATTTAAATCTAAACACATTTACATCTGTTAAGAGATACTTAATGCAGAGATTACATTTGCAACCACCATCTGTCTGCAAGCGGTGCCACCTGTGGAGATGGATAGGAAACTATTATAAATGGATCCACACTCGTGTCAAGGCTTGGGACTAGCGGAGGCACGAAGTGAACAGATGATGTACTGTAGGCCAGGTATGTCCTTCAGGCGATAGACCAGGGCCAGAAAGGCGGGCAGGGTTAAACATGACTGATTTGTTTCATTAAGCATGAAGGACAGAACTGGGTTAGAAGTTGTGGCAGTGTTCCTGCTAAATGGGACACATAAGCTGACACAGTTTTATAACACACAGCTCAGGTGCATGTGGAGTGTTGTCCCACAAGTTAATCTATTGCATATACACGCTGCTTTGTCTTACGTTGTTGCCCCTGTGTGGAGTTCTTTTGTAGTTGTGCTCAGCCTCAGGATGCAGAGCCTTAACAGGAAGTTGTGTTGTTAGGGTAACTTTTAAGGAGCTGGTAACTAAGCTGTTAAGCTGGTAAGTGTTTCTATGGATATTTGAAAGTGAGATGCTTGCACACAAAACACACAGACACTGTTTTATAGGCTGTCTAGTCAGTTGCCTCCATCGCATTACACATTATGTCTAACTCCATAGTAACTCTTGACCTTCTAAATGTATCCGTTTGCTTCTAAAGAACCATTTCACTGGTGAATGAGTTATTTTAATTTATTTTATTAAACGCAAGTGTGTCTTTTGGGCCATGTGTTTGTTGAGCTGTGATTCAGCAAAATGGTTGATCAGTATTCACTTCACTATGTCTGAATTGGTACTCAGGGCTTTCATGGAGCCATTAGTATTCCCCAGGCGTCTCACCTGCCCTGTATGCAGCTGGCACCACCAGGACAAACCAACAGGCTCACAGAGAGACACTCACTAGGCCTGTCGCTCGATAACAAAAAGCATGCACTGTATAGCATAAAATCATATACAGCATAAGTAGAGTAACATAAATACATGTACTGTATATGTACTCAGGCTTAAACATACACACACCATGTGTCTTTTCCTGTCTTTTTGCTCTAATTCCCTTTTTAATCTCAAGAGGGGGATAAACTGGATTGTTATTCTAACTTTTGTCTTCACATGTGTTTTTATGTGGCTCCTAAGTTTAAGCATCCTAAGGGAGGGCAACACAATCAGAGGAAACTGAAATGATATACCAGACCTCCCTAAGACAAACCCTTAACACCCCCTCCTGGTTCAGAGACGCACAGACGTCTGAAAGAGGCCACGCTAAAACACCTTTCAAACAGAGGTCTTTTAACAAACATCCTCTACACTTGTGCTTTGATGAGCCCCTGGCTTGTCGAGGTGGTCCAGTCCAAGGTGGAGCAGTCAATAGTGGAGGGAGTTGCAAAAGCAGGGAAGGAGGGTTCAGTGAGTCAGGCTGCAGGATGGGGATATCCCTGGCTCACCACACTGCCTCCCTGCCCGGTTTCCTTTAATGCTGTTAATGAGATACCCAGCCTCACGCAACTGGCAGACATACAACGGAGAGCGCATAAGAGGGGACTTTATATTTTATCAGCCTGTTTTCACTTTCTCCATTCCTTATCCACCTCCTTCTTTCATCCCGAAATGAAAATACATTTCCACTCCAGTGCTCTGACATAAACCTGTTCCCCCATGTCTCTTTTTCGTTTTCTGACACTCTATTTTTGCTTTTCTTCCTACTTAAATTACTTCTTCATTTCTTATTTAACTCTCTCCACTCTCTTTTCAACTCTCACTGGAGAAGACATCCATCAGCAGCAGTCCTACATGCTCATTCAGGACACCAGCCCAGATATTTTACGGCGCTCCAGCGTGTGACACATATGTCAAGGTGATCATTTTACACTCGAGGTGCTTTGCATTTTTGCGCGAAGCAGCAACCTGTGTGATGGGGCTGTGGCGTCACAGTAACCAGCAGACTGCAGCATTTATCAAATGTTCTTACACAGACTTGCTCTTATTTCTCTTGTGAGAAAAACACCGCGTGTTCACACTTTCATACATCAGGCTGAGTATTGACTCAACAGCCTCCAGTCACACATTTTCCTCTGGTGGTATGACCCTTTAAACAGGGTTAGTACCGACAGGCATGTGAGGGCAGTGCTCCGCTGTGCTGTTAGACAGTGTCTCAGGGTAATTGTTTGTCATTTCTCATGTTGCTTTGCATCGATTCGATCTGTGCACATTGTATCTTTTCGCCTGTCATTTTGCTCCTACAAGCCCCCCTTCTTACCATCCTATCCCAAAGGCAGGATATCCTGCATGGGGAAGAAGCAGGCGTAAGGACTATAAGCAAACACAGGTGGTCGGACTTCCCCTGCGTTGCAAGAATTCAGGCCTACCTGTAATAATCACTGTCCTGAAGCTTTACTACAAGCCATCATTTTGTTCTTAAGAATGTGAAGTGACACGTTGTAAAGCAAAACTCATTCTCAGCGTGCTCATCATCTTTGTAGATCCTTTCAGACTTGACAAGATAAACATCCCAGATACCCCATGCTTATTTCCTGTTATAGTGTTTGCTAATAACAGCAGCTGACAGGAAGCTGATTGTCCTAGATGTCAAATAAACTTAAATCCAAACTGTTGCCTAGCAACACAACTCCACTAAAATGTATAATACATATTTAAAATCTCTTATGTCACATCTGTCATGCATATTCATTACACATTCCTGCACTGTTAGCTTGTGGGCTCTTCTTCTGCATCATATTTAGGATTGAAACCGAGGCCAGTTTACTCCCACTGAACTCATCTGGCCCTGTTTCCTGCGAGAATAGCTCTGTCACCGATCCTATTTCATTCCCACTGACGAATCCCAGCCCATTATGATACGAAACAGAGTCACAGCAGCACAACTCTACAATATCCAGGATACACAATCCTCCCTCTGTCTAGGAGCTGGTTCATTTGTGTCTGTGCAGTTACTTCTTTTGTTTGTGGTCTGATAAGCTGTGGGCGCTCAGTCAAACCATAGTGTTTTCAAGCAAGTGGATTCCTTGGAAGAACAGTCCGCTGTGATTGCCAGCAGCTCCCCTGAATCAGGACATGATTGTACTCTGTTCAGTTTGTTAAGTCTCTTTCAGTCATGTTCAATTTATCATCTATTTGTTCTCATAGTCCACCGAAACAGATGTCAATAAATTGACTCATGACAGGCAGGCAAATATCCAGACTAGGAAATCTGCGTGTCTTCACTTATTCCCAGCCTCATTCCTTTTTTCCTTGTTTTCCAGCCAAATAATTATTGGATAGAGGTTGAAGTTGAACTTGTGTATCCTACTGAAGAATTTTGATCATTATCCTTGTCTGGCAGCCATGTTTGTTCTTATTGCCAAAGTCAGGATCTGTATGTGAGAAAATCTTTTCCCAGGACCGGCAGAGAGACGTTTGGTGATGGGAGGGGCTGAGGGCCAAAAACGGACATTGTCTAAAATCTTTCCAGGGCTTTGTTTATTTTTTTTTGTTGTTGTAATTTTCTAATTTGTTTGCAACTAGCTGGAGGCATGTTTGTGTTTGATACCCTTGTATAGGCACACACACTCACACACACACACAAACACCCCTCTCTAGATTCTGGTGGTGGTTGAAACCGTTTACAGTGTCTCCCTGGGGATAAGGTCTTATTTGCATAGTTCGTCTGGAAAACATTTCCACTGCTCCATTCCCAGGTTTATCAAATACCCAGTGTGTGAGTGTAAATGTGTGTGTGAACGAGAAAAAGGAAGAGGGGGCAAGGTTTTGTCGATGTCTGAACTTAAGAAAAGATCTTCCTGTAGAGATTCGTCAACAGTTCTCAACCAAGGGAAGCTATTTTCTCACCACTCCTTAAATTATAAATCTTGATAAAATTTTTATTCATTCATATTTTGTTGATATAAATGTGTTTGACGAGTCTCTTGGTGATTTGCAGTCGTGTTACATGTTAAACATTTAAAGTGCGACCTCCTCCTACATGTGCCGTGTCATTTAGTCACTGTGCGCCATAAGCTTCTTCTTACCCAGAATAATTTCTCTGGTAATGTGACAATGTGGCACGCTACTTGATAGCATGGCCACTCGCTTGATTAATTATAGGCATTTACATGCTTACACACTCTCCTTCTCCACACGTGTGCCACACAGTTGTCCCAGTGGACTGAATCTCTGTTTTGAGGGATATCATTGAATGAAAACAGGGTGGTATGTCCAACAAAGCTCCAAGAGAAATCACATATTATTTTAATATATTTTGATTTTGTATGGCTGCTACGATGGCCAGGTCTCTCTTGTAAAAAAAAGATTTAAAAATCACATAAAAATGTTCATGATATCATCATATAAGCCTTAGTGTTTTTTAAATAAATAGAAAAGCCAAATATGAACACTTTCCAAGATATCAGTTGCCATGTTTGGAGACTATGCTATGTTAAACATGATAAAACACACTGGTTGTAATATCTTAGTGTTTTATTGGGCCATGGTTGAGCAGCCTAGTTGTAAATCTGGCTGGTATTCCTCTAAATCCTCTAAGTGTGTCTGAGTCCTGGCCAGAGTCACATCTGAGTGGCCGGAGCGGACATTATATACGGTTTTTGAAGGTGGTCGTCTTCTGTTGAGTGAAGTGATGGTGGTTTTAACTGTGGCATTAGTGATGGGGATGTGAGGGCTTACAATGTTTTCAATTCAGAGGTTAGGACCTCTGTATAGAATGGTAATCCCGAAGGATTACTAGGGGAATCTGGTGAATATCTGAGGAAATCCCTCTCCGGGACTCTCAGATCCTCTGTTTGTATGGATATTATATCCTCTATAACAGTGTGTCCACATGTGTTTACTGAACAGATATTTAAAGTTTTGTATGTG